CTTTCTTTCTTTCTTTCTTTCTTTCTTTCTTTCTTTCTTTCTTTCTTTCTTTCTTTCCTTCCTTCCTTCCTTCCTTCCTTCCTTCCAAGATTTTTATTTATTTATTTTGAATGCTCTGTCTGTATGTACACCTGCATGCCAGAAGACAGCAGTAGAGGGTATAGATGGTTGTGAGCCACCATCTGGTTGCTAGGAATTGCACTCAGGAACTCTGGAAGAGCAGTCAGAGCTCTTAACCACTGAGCCATCTCTCCAGCCCGACAGCCATTTCTAAACTTGATGTTTTTAAGATCAAGAAGCTAGTTTACTGTGTACTGAATTGTAAACTAGTGAGTGATCTGTGGTGTCTTAAGGTATTCATCTCTTATTTCCTGAACAGCTTTCGGTAGACACTCTGCAGTTTCTGCTCTTCTTGTACACCCAGCAGTTAAACAAGATCTCCCTGCGTACTTCATTGATTGGGGAAGAGTGGCCTAGTCCCAGAAGCAGACCTCAGTCTTCGAGCCTGACTGAAAGGCCCAGCCATCACAGTAAGGTACTGCTCATAGCTTGTAGAGGAAATGCTTAACCCTTCACTAAAAAGTATGCTGGGATGAAGCCAGGCATCATAGGGCATGATTGTACCTCACTTCCTGGGAGCCAGGAGAGTCATTAGTTCAAGGCTGACCTGAGATATTGAGTAAGACTTAGAAAGAAAAAAGAAAGAGAGAGAGAAAGAAAGACAAAAAGAGCTTTTTTTCTTCCTTAAATTGCGTTAAGTAATTTTATGTGTTTTAATGACCTGTCTCACATAATTAACTGTCAAACATGAGTCTTAGGTAGGGTTTTTACTGCTTTTCCTTTTGTATCGTAAAGAAAAACAAATATTTTCATCAGCTTTTTATGTGTATAAAATGTTGAAAAACTTCAAAATGAAAATCATAGTACCATGTAAAAGCTCTTTTTCAGTGTGTATGTATACACTTGTGGGTGTGCCATAGATGTATGTGGAGGTCAAAGGACAACTTGTAAACGTGATTTTTCACTCTTGCCCTGAGGGTCTCAGGGACTGAACTCAGGTCACCAGGCTTGGCAGCCAGCATCTTTATCTGTGGAGCCATCTTGCTAGCCCCAGGCACATGTTGCCTGGCTAATCAGTATTTCTGCATTCAGGGTCTGGTTCACTGGTGTCTTCTCTGTCCCTGCAGCCTGCTCAGCCCCTTCAGGCACTGTTAAAGCCAGCCAGCAGGGAGGTGTTTCTTGGTTGTGGAGATTGGGCTCTGTGTGGGTTAGCCGAAGTGTAGTATCTTCAGCAGCAGGCTCTCCCTGTGTGGTTGTGGTGAGTAACCAAGGGCAGTGGCCATGTTGTTCTGGAGGATCCTGAGACCTCCTTGACCTGTATCTCTAGCTTCCTGGCTTCCACTGAAGCTCCAAATCACACACAGAAACAAAAGACTTGAAGCTAGGATCGACTATGAGAGAGGACATTGGTATTTATCTTTCTGGACCTAGGTTACCTCACTCAGTATAATTTTTTACAGTTCCATCCATTTATCTGCAAACTTCATGATTCCATTTTTTTTAACAGCTGACTAAAATTCCATTGAGTATGTGTACCACATTAATCTTATCCATTCATCTGTTGATGGACATCAGTTTGATTCCTTTTCCTGGCTATTGTGAATAGAGCAGCTAAGAATATGGATATGCAAGCATTTCTCTAGCAGGATGTAAAGTTCTATGTGCCCAGGAGTAGTATAGCTGGGTCATATTGTAGATCTATTCCTTGGTGTGCTTCTCTTTTTTTTTTTTTTTTTTTTTGCTTAGGGTTTGACTTGTAGCCCCAGCTGGGCTGGAACTCGATATGTAGACCAGGCTGGCCTCCAACTCATCGAGATCTGCCTCCCTCTCCTTCCCTGAGATTAAAGGTGTGTCTGGCCCTCTTTTCTAGTTTTTTTGAGAAACCTTCAGTGGTCTGCAAGTCTATACTCCCATCGACAGTGGGTAAGAAAGAGTACTCTTTTGCCACATTCGCAGTGTTTGCTGCCACTTGTGTCCTGATGATGCCCCCGACTGCGGTGAGACAGAGTCGTAATGTGGTTTTCATCTGCATTTCCCCTGTGACTAAGGGTGTGGAGCACTTTTTTAAGTATTTCCTAGCCATTGCATATCTCTTTTTGGGAATATTTTGTTGATTCCTATTGCCCATTTTTAATTGGGTTCTTTATTTTCTTTAATTTTTTGAGTTCTTAGTATATTGTAGACATTAATCCTTTGTTAGGTAAGTAGCTGGCAAAGGTTTTCTCCCATTCTGAGAGAAGGAAGTGTTTGTTTTTCCATAACTTTCATTGTTATACAGAAGCTTTGTAGTTTCCTGAGATCCATTGGTTGAATATTGATCTTATTTTCTACACTTGGGAGTAGTATGCAAATATGATTTAATATTTAATAAATGGTAAAATTGCAGTTATTCCAAAGAATTGTTGTAAAGTAAAATTTTTCATCAGTACAAGTCAACCCATTTTTTAAACAACAAAAAAGTATATTTGCATCAAGCCAAAAAGACCTTAATTTTTCAGTTTGACAGTTCCTTAAAAGTGAGCATTTTGTCAAGCATTTCTATTTCATTTTTGTCATGTTGTTCCCTACTCCTCCCATTTCCCATCATATACCCCTGGACTCATGCTCTCTTCACAGTTATTATTGTTCATATTTATATGTGTGTATGTGCGTATACCCACTTAGTGTTGCTCATACACACACTCACATATATGCATACACACATGTTTTGTATGTGTGTGCTAGGGCTACTTTGGATAACCTCTCAGAGGGCTTATCTCTAGAGAAAAAGGATTCTCAGCAGCTGTTGATTACTTGTAGCTTTTCATCTAGGAATGAGACCTTGTGAAATTTCCCCCGTCCACATTGGCATGTCAGCTGGTATCGTTTTGCAGGTCTTTTTTTAATGCCACCATATTGTTACAATTTGATAGATATAGCTTTTCTGTCATGCCGAGAAGATAATATCTTGCAGCAGGCATTCATCTTCACCCTTCTGCCAAACACAGCAATGACTGGCCTGGCAGGGTATCTCCAGTGGTGTAACAGTGGCACTTAAATCTCAGCAGTAACCAACAACTATGTAATTGGATTAAGGGAGGGAATTCATGCTTGGCACTGTAAATCTAGCCAGCTAACTTCCTGTGGCTGGAGAGGTCATGAACCTTAGAGAAGCTACTACTGCCATTATCCTAAATCAGTGTAGTTTAACTGTGTTCTAAACATTTACCTTTATAGTCACAGGTAAGCGTATCTCTCAGCCCTCATCAATCAGCTTCTTGCAGCCAATGCAGGCTATTTGCAGAGATCCCAAAGGGGTCAAAATACAGGAAGTAAGTGAGTGTGGAGGGCCCAGCCCCAAAGGGCACATCTAGAGCATAGTCGCTATGCCTGAGGCTCAGGGAAAACTGAGAAATGGGCTCTTGAGTAGAGTAACTCACTCATTCATGGCTTTGACTTTGTTGAGACAGAATCTCATTATATTAACAAAGCTGCTCCCAAACTCCTGGGTATATGTGCTCCTCCAGCCTAAGTGTCCCAAGTAATTGAAATAATAGCATGTATCGGTCTGACTTGATGAAATGAAGACCTGGAGTCATCAGTCCTTTAGACGGTAGAACTTGCTAGCTAACGGTGAGTACTAATATGGCATTATGGTCTGTTAGAACAGCCACAAGGCCCACGAGTGACCTTCAGTTAGGAGAGACTAGGAACTCTGAATGAGTGCCTACAGTACTTATATTTAATCAGATTGCAGTCAAACAAGTGTACAAAAGATATTGCATAGAACTACCGTTAGCTTGTGTATAAGGTATGATGACTTGGTCCCATCTCAAGATAGCTCTTCCGGTAAAAATGTAAATTTTACAAAATCTGAAAATATTCAGAACAGTTCTGGTCTCAATGTATTTGATAAGGGATATTGAACCTGTAATGCTTTTGAGTCAGTTTACAAATATTACACATACAAAGGTCGCTTTTACATAGCTGCCTACTTTTTTTTTGAGGGAATGGAAAGCATATAAATGCAATATAATTGAAATGTAAGGTTTTTATCTTAGAGTATCTCCATACTGTTGAATGTTGCCTCCTTGTCTGTTTTAGAATTGGGATGACTACAGTCACCAGGCTTTTGTCTGTGATCATCTGTCAGATCTCCTCGAGCTGCTTCTAGATCCAGAGCAACTCACTGCTTCCTTTCACTCATCCCACAGTAGTCTGCTCTCTCGAGAGGCTGTCAAGGCCCTCAGCTTCCTCATCGAAGGCACTGTGAGCAGAGCCAGGAAGGTCTATCCCCTTCATGAGCTCGCGCTGTGGCAACCACTGCATGCAGCAAGTGGCTTCTCAAAGACCTCGAAGACTTTCTCTTTCTGCAAGCTGGAGGCCTGGCTAAGAGCCTGTTTGACTGTGAATCCATTTGGTCCATCCGCTTGCCTCAAATCTGGGAAGAAGTTGGCCTGGGCTCACCAAGGTATTAAAAAAAAAAAACAAAAAAAACTTTACCTAATATTAAATTGAACAACAAGGAAACCTACTGTTTCCTGATGTATTAATGGTCAGGCGTCTACTAGCCTGGTGCACTAGCACATACCTGTAATCTAGCACTCGGAAGACAGGGCAGCAGAATCACAGTATAAAGCCCAAATTGGGCTACATGATGAGACCCTGTCTCTGCACTTCATGCGTGTGGTACACATCATACATGCAGGGGAAACACCCATACACTTAAGATGAAAATAAAGGGGGAAAGAGCAAGTAAGTGTCTTAATTAGGGTTTTATTGCTGTGACTAGGCACCATGATTATGACAACTCTTAGATAAGGAAAACATTTCACTGGTCAACAAGGCGGCATGCAGACAGACGCAGTGCTGGAAAAGTACCTGCGAGTTCTACCCTTCATCCACAGGAGAAAAACTGGCATGAACTTCTGAGACCTCAAAGCCCGTCCTTCAGTGACACACTTCCTCCAGTAAGGCCACAGCTCCTAATAGTACCCCTCCCTATGGCCAAGTATTCACACACATGAGTTTACGGGGCCATTCCTATTAAATCACCACAGTCAGTAAGCAAAAAATACCTCCAGTATAGACGAGGCTCCGTCTTCTGTGGCTTACACAGTGACTCGCAGTGTGAGTTGTGCCGCAGTTCTGAGTTGACTTGGATGTTTTGTTAGAGTTCACAGAAATTATAGTCTGGCCTCCCTCAAGTCCCCTCATTGTCAGGTGCTTGCTTGAGGCTTTTTAGTTTCTATTTAGCAGCAGAATTTGACATATCAATAGATATCACCTGAGAGTTGGCGTAGAGATGAGTGGCTTTCAGCTGCATAGACATAAGCAAGGAATATATTTCCTTTTGTTCTACATTAGAAATCATATGAACAATAGTGAGAGTCTGGCATTTCCTGTGTTGGTGTTGATCCCTGGCAGTCTAGCCATGGCTAATAGATGTTCAAGAGAAGAACCAGGAAAACATGTCTGCAGATATGTGTGCTACTAAGCTAGGTGCCAGGCCAAGTTATTGAGAAAAAACATAATAGGCTATGTTTCCAAAATCTCAGAATTTCATGAATAGGTGCACAGAAAACTTCCATATATATGTTTTAAAATACGTTGCTTTACCTCAGCATGATATTGCATCCTTTAATCCCAATGCTCGAGAGGCAGAGGCCTGTAGAACTCTTGAGTTTTAGGCTAGCCTGGTCTCTGAGAATGAGTTTCAGGGCAGCCTGGTCTACACAGTGAGACCCTGTCTCCTTGCCCTTCCCCCGCAAAACTTAATCTTTTTTTTTTTTTTTTCTAGGACATGCTAGGGGATTGAACCCAGACCTTCATGCATCGCAAGCATGTAGTCTGCCATTGAGCACCACCTCCAGAAAGAATCACATTTTTTATATTTTTATAACACCGTGAAACAGAATGATTGCACATTACAGAATCTGAAGGGTGTTTGTTCATTTGTTTGTTTTATTTTAAAAAAGGGATCCAGGAAATTTGTGTCCAACCCAGCTATTCTGCCATGCATCGGACTCTCTTTGAGATTCAGGGATTCTTTAGACATGTAGGTGAAACTACATAATCCTTAGCTGTGTGAAAACACTTAGGCTTAAGTGAGCTTTTGAACCTTGATAGGGTAGGCATTATTAGGAAAATTAAGACTACTCAGTCTCATCAGATTATAATAAAATGCTAATAGTTTGATAACAAACTTTTCACTATTATTTTCTACATAAGCATGTATTATGTATATGTTGTATGTGCAATTTGAAACTATGTCTTTAAAAAGAATAGTTTTATCGTATTTGCGTATCCTTTCCACATTGGACCAGTATGTCTGCATGGCTTGTGGGGAGGACAGGCCGAGATGCGAGTCTCACACTGACGAGGCTGTGTTGAGTTATGTAGGACCCTGGGAGGGGAAGATGTGCTCCCGAGCAGTCATGATCTTGGGGGTGAAGACATGAGCTCGAGTGGGACTCATGGGATGATGCCCTTAGTAAACTGAGATGGCTGCAGAATTTATATGGTGACGATCTGGTAAGCCCATGTGACCGGGATGGCACAAGGGGGGCGTCACAGAGGAATAGCTGTTCGGATTTGTCTCCAGTTTCGGGCCTTAAGCACAAAGGTAAATGAGAAAACAGCTTTACCAGAGATCTTGTATGTGTTTCAGGTTTACATTTGTTAATAATACTTTTAAAAGATTATGGACATGTAGAAAAGAACTGTAAACACTTCTTTCTCATTAACTCTTAAACCTATTTTCTTCACACGTATTTGAGTTTAGGCATGGGTACATGGGGACATGTATAATCTCATGGTTGTGTTTTGCTTTGATTTGAAACTATCTTATTATTTGTTTGTTTTCATAAATAGTTGAAGGTACGACCAAAAGAGCTAAGATTGCGTGCAACACTCACGTGGCCCCTCGGATGCACCGCATCGTGGTGATGAGCCAGGTTTACAAACAGACGCTGGCCAAGAGTTCAGATACTCTAGTGGGAGCACATGTCAGGATTCATCGCTGCAATGAGTCTTTTATATATCTGCTCTCCCCCTTACGGTAAGCACAGGCTCCTGATAATGTGATATTTTCTTTGGATTGGGATTTTTTTTTTTTTTTTAATGTATTTCAGTGCTCTATCTGAATGTACACCTGCATGCCAGAAGAGGACATCAGATCCCAGTATAGATGGTTCTTAGCCACCATGTAGTTTCCGGGAATTGAACTCAGGATGTCCAGAAGAGCAGACAGTGCTCCTAACCGCTGAGCCATGTCTCCAGACCCTTAAGAAAGAATTTTATTCTAGGTAATTCATTCTGAAGAATTTAACTCATTTAAAATTTTTCAGATCCGTGACAATTGAAAAATGCAGGAATAGCACGTTTGTGTTGGGTCCTGTGGCGACGGCTCTTCACCTACATGACTGTGAGAATCTGAAAGTCATTGCTGTCTGCCATCGACTGTCCATCTCCTCCACAACAGGCTGCACCTTTCATATCATGACCCCTTCACGCCCACTTATTCTCTCTGGGAACCAGAGAGTAACTTTTGCCCCCTTTCACACCCATTACCCACTGCTGGAGGACCATATGGCCAGGACTGGCCTTGCTACAGTGCCCAACTATTGGGATAACCCGATGGCTGTGTGCAGAGAAGGCAGTGACACCAGAGTCTTCCAGCTCCTGCCCCCCTGTGAATTCTACATTTTTATTATTCCCTTTGAGATGGAAGGGGACACAGCGGAGATCCCTGGGGGTCTCCCCTCTGCTTACCGGAAAGCACTGGCTCAGAGGGAGGAGAAGATCCAGATCTGGCAGAAGACCGTGAAGGAGGCTCGCTTGACAAAGTAAGTGTTTTCTAGAGCCAGGGTTTTGCTAGTCTTTCTTCCACAGTTTAGTATTGTAGTGCTGTGTCACAGGGTGATGGGAACGAGCAGGTAGGTACTCAGGCATTAGGCTCCTTCCTTGACGAAGTTGAAATTGCCCTGTGGCATAAGCCTGTAATCCCAGCACCTAAAGGCTTGAGACGGGAGGATCACAAATTCAAGGTTAGTAGGACCTGTATGGGGAGACCTTGACTCAAAATAATAATAAGCTTACATTTAGTTGGCGGAGGTAAGGCTGGCGTGGAGTAAAGCAATCTGTCTAGAAGATGGTACATGAGTCAGTCTTAAATGACTTAGCTTTTAGCATCTGTTTGCACACTATTCTGTATTGGTGGCTGCCTGAGAGTACTCGCATCAGAGTCCTCCAAAAACCTCATTGAAAACACAGATTTCTATGGTTCCCACCATACCACATACCTACAAGCCACATTCTTGAAGGGTGCTTTTCCAAGGCTGACCGATGTATGATTGCTAATTCTGCTCATGTAATTCCTTAATCCACGCTAAAATGGAAGAAATAACTAAAGCAGTTTGTTTTTAAAGCTAGATTTGAAGTATAAAATATGCTCCATTCTACTTAGGGGCACTGAGATAGCTTATTTTTAAACATATGATTAGGATAACAAATACAGCTGTAGATACTATGTTGTGCCCAAGTTATTATTTAAGGGATACTGGTCTTTGAACTCCAGAAGCGAGGAACATGGCATGCACTTTCCAGTTAGTCAGAAAACATCAGTGTGAACAGTTAATTGGGGGTGTATCAAGGATGTAGACTTTGTATCACAAAGTCCTGAAGAATGAGAGACTTGCATAGCAGGTGAGAGCTAATCTGAGTCCTGGAAAGTACTGGAGAAGCAGAAGTCTGAGAAGCAGAGACCAAGACAGGATTCAGGGTGCAGTACAGCAATCTTCATAAACTTCATAAGTGACCCGAGTCAGATTATGTCATGTTTTGACACTCAGACAGAGAAAATTCCATTAGAATTAGGCAGTAGAAGCCTATCTGTGTTTGCTTTAAGCAGTGGAATGAAGTTCAGAGAAGCGTTTATTTCTTCAGGAGCACCTGTCAGCCCCACAGCACAGGGAGTGCTCCCTAGAGGCCGTGGCAGGGTTAAATAGACAGAACAGTGGGGCTGCCACATGGGCAGTCAGAGAGCGAATTGAAAGAGGAGATGGTGGTTCCATGTCTGGGTGAGAGCAGAAAGGAGGGTGGAGGACAGAGACACTCAGGGCTCAGTGTGGGATTTTGTGAAGACAAGAAAGCAAATGATTCTAAAAATTGGACGTCAGCTTGGTAAGTTTTTATTAACCAGTTTTCGTCTCAGCAGACCACTATACAGCTTCAAATTACAAATGCTGAGTCGGTAATCATTATTACAAATATGGTGGTGGACAAGTTTTATTTATTGGAGCTGCTGAGGGGGGATAGACAAAGGAGACACTGCAGTACCAAACATGGTGAAGGCGGCTGCTTCATCACCCCAGTTGGTCCTGGGCCCAAGTTCTTTTTCTAAGTCTCAGTCCGCCTCCTCAGTGTGTGTGTACATACATACATTATAGACATCACACACATACATGTGTATCTAATCAACAGCAGTCACAGCTTCTGCTTTAAGTAGGAAGCCATGTTATAATACTACAGTTACCTGTATAAACATGAACTCTTACTCCATGAGTTAAGAGTATAAATTCCTACTTCATAGATCATGTTACCAGAGTGGTCATCCCATCATACTCAGGGCCTTCAGAGTGGAAAGTACTCACCGTCAGTAATGGTGGAGATGGTCACAGGGTCTCAGCTGAGCTCTTCGGATGTTCTAAACACTGACCTGAACAGCTGTACTGACTCACTGATTATTTTAATAGCTAAACCCAGCTGCAGGGGGAGAACTAAGATCAAGTACTCTACTCAGTCACAAAGGATTCAAGTACCTCCTAGTTGGCCTGGTTCTAGAGATGCTCTGTGTCTCTGGTGTCTTTATTATTCCTTTCATTTATTATTACACTATATAGTACAGTAGTAAAATTATAGTGTGTAAAAATTGATCTTCATTGAAAACAAATCCCTTTAGAACACTTACTTTTACAGTTTTTCTACCATTCAAGTGCTTAGACTTTCTTACACACGTGAAAAGCTCAGGAAGATTTGTCCATTCTGGAGTGTTGTGAGCACTTATCACCCACAGTGGTGCTAGAAATGGTGAAAAAGCAGTGTGTATAACCCTGGGAATGAAGGTGCACCTTAGCTTACACTAGGGTTTCGTCCAGAGCACAACTCATTGTAAGCCAAGAATCCATTTCCTGTACCCAAGCTACTGAACTGATTCCGCAGTGTGGGGGCCCGGTGCACTGTAGTGCATCCACTCTCCTGGCCTGTGGTCGGCGCTTCACGGCCGCTGCCCAGCAGTAAAGTGAGAATCACATTGCAGATTACTAGCGTGAGAAAATACACACACTTGAAGTAGAGATTCCTGCAGACCAGATACATTGTTTTTATCCTGTCATTAAGTTAAACATGAACTGAGAACTGTCTGCGTAGAAAGACAGAAATCAGATTGAAGACGAACCCCCGGTGTGATCCTGGTTCACACTGTGTGGAGAGTTGTGGGAAGCAAGACCTTGCTGCAGGTTGAATGCCATCTGCAAGGGAAAGTGGCTACACAGTTGTAGCTTAGCAGTTTATCTGTAAGATGGGTTGGGATGAGGTGGATCTGAAACTACAGAGATGGCAGCCATTCATCCAAGGGAGGGCGCTTCTTTTTATGGTCTCAGCACACTTATTTTCTCTTTGGACTTCAGTGGGAGTGGGATTGTGGAGTATCCTGTTCTTGCTCTGGGCTATAGTCATTCCAGAGTGCCCTGACAGCTGCTGGTGTCTGTGGGTCCAGTGGAATTGTGGAATTGTGTCCTGCGCAAGCACGGCATAGCCAGGCTGACATGCGAGCTGTCCCCAGCTGTGGGGCTACTTTTCTCTTTCTTGCCCGCATCACGCTTTCTGTTGCATTAGGCCCTTTATCATTTCTGTTTCTCCTGTCTGGTATGCATTCCACATAATCCTTCTGCTCCTCTCATCATTTCATGTAGACTTCTGTCCAAGTGTCATATTAGAGAGCATCTTCTCCCCTACGAGGGTGGACAGTGGGTAGGAACACATGCACAGAGATCACAGCGTGCCGACCCAGACAGCAGGACAGTCTCTTTTCCTTCTGCACTTATGCCCATCAGTCAGAACACTGCCTCCTTCACTTTGGCCTCGGGGAGAATCTGGCAGTGGACGAGGCTTTCAACATTGTATCTCACTGTGCCTTGAACACTGAGAACTGAAGGATAATTAGAAATGGTCATTGTTTTGAGAGTTTTAGGTAATTGTGGGAGTGGAGTCTGCTGGGGTTTGTCTTCTTCAGTTGATTTGCTCTCAACTTCAGGGAGCAGAGGAAGCAGTTCCAGGTCCTTGTGGAGAACAAGTTCTATGAGTGGCTGATTAACACAGGACATCGCCAGCAGCTGGACAGCCTCGTCCCACCTACAGCAGCCTCCAAACAAGTGGCCGGCTAGGACCCCTCGAAACCACTGGTAGGCATTCAGAACACAGCAGCACTTAAGGGACTCTTTCACGAACTCTTTGATGGTCCAGAAAACAGAAAAGAAAGTGTATCATGTTCTGTTCTTCCCACCGTTCTCTTCTGCTCCCACCCACGTGTAGATACATACCCACATTTTTTTTTATGAGAAAATTAAAATATTCAAGTGGTGCTTATAGAAATTTGGGCAAACATAATGGCCAAATTTATTTTGCAGTTTGTATAGCACCAAAAAATGTACCACTTTCCCCCACTGATTAATGTTTTTGTTTTGTTCTTTAACGTTTATTTTATTTTTAATTATTGGCATGTGGGTATGTACACCTGAGTGAGGGTGTCCAGAGATAGTCAGAAGTGTCAGATCCGTGGAGCTGGAGTTGCAGGTGGTTGTGAGCTGACCGGCGCTGGTGCTGGAAACTGAACGCAAGTCCTCTGGGAAATCAGTGTGTGTGCTCAACTGCTGAGCTCTCTCTCCAGCCCAGGCATTAGGTTCTACTCCTCCTTGCTAATGTATCTTTTTCCTGTCCCTGAAAACTCTTTAATAAAACTGGTCTTAATAATCACACATAGAGTGTTATTAATGAGCTAGTTAGAATTAATACAGATAAATATTTTATTACTGAACACTAGAAGAAAGTCATGAATTAAATATGTGGATGAGAATATAGACAGAAAAATTACTGAGAATTCCTTAATCCAAATGTTGTTTTTGCAGCATTTTGAAAGATTTTTTTAAAAAATTATTTTATGCATATGCCTTCATGTATGTCTGTGCACCACATGTGTGCTCTCCAGAGAGCAGAGAGCATCACACCTCCTGGGACTGGAGTAGTGGACCATTGTGAGGCACCATGTGGGTGCCAGAAGTTGAAGCTGGCCCTCCACAAGAGCAACAAGTGCTCTCAGCTGCTCAGTCAGCTCTCCAGCCCACAAACCATTTTTAAATAGAAATTAACTTGCTGCTTTCACATTTTTAAAGACTAAAAGAAAAATAGACACAGGATGTGTGGCTAGGTAGTTCATAGGAAAAAATATAGAAATGGAAATGCTCACCTGAAAATAGAGAAGTGTGGCTGGTGAGGTGGTTCAGAGGGAAAGGACAGCTGCCTCCCAAGTCTGCTGGCCTGGTGTGATGAAAGGAGAGAACTGACTCCCCCAAGTTGTCCTCTGTCCCCCACAGCCACACTCTGGCGTGGATGTGCATGCACAGGAGCACACGCCATAAACCTGTGCCCAATAAACGAAGACTTACTATCCCTCCAGCAGGTCTGTGGGGCTGACGGTTGCTAGGGGGTTGGGAGGGCATTTCTTCAGTAGTCTAGCTTTTCCTTCGGTAGTCTCGCCATTGCTAAGCTGCCTGTGTGCCAGTAAGTACCCTTCCCTGCTTCAGAGCAGGGCCTCCCCTGCAGAGTGCCGTGACTGGAGGACAAGGTGGAAACATTGGGGGCTGAATTCCCCCTAGAAAGCCTGCCAGAACAGAGAGATTTTTTTTTTCATATTCATGCTGGTTATACGCTTAAAGAATTTCTGGAAGAGTATAAAAGATGTAAACAACGTTTGTCTTTCAGAGATGAGACTGGGAATCCAAGGTAGGAGAAAGCTTATTTTTAGAGAGATACAAGATACAACTCACCTTTCTGTTTGTTCGGGGCCTTCTTTCTTTCCTTTTTCTTTTCTCATTCTTTTGGTGGTACTGAGGATGGAACCTTAGGGCCTCACACATACTAGGTAAGCATCCTACCATTGAACAAGCTGTATGTACAGCTGCCTTTTTGTTATTTTTGAACCCAGATCTTGCTAAGTTTCTTAAATTAGCCTTGAACCTGCCCTATAACCCAAACAGACCTTGAGTTTGTATCATCTTGCCTTACTCTTTCAAGGAGCTGGAATTATAGGCATGTACCATCAAGCCTGGCAAATCACCCTTCTAAGATGAAGAATTCTTTAGTTTTTTGTTTGTTTGTTTTTTGTTTTTGAGATAGGGTTTCTCTGTGTAACAGCTCTGGCTCTCCTGGAACTGACTTTATAGACCAGGCTGGCCTCAAACTCAGCAGAGATCTGTCTGCCTCTGCCTCCTGAGGGCTGGGATTAAAGGGGTGTGCCATCATGCCTGGCCTGAATTCATTGTATTTTATTATGTTCACACATTTATACAACTGCCATCTTTTAAGAAAATAATATTTCATAGCACATAGTTAAAGCCCACTTCCCCTACCATCAATAGTCATTTCCTATATGTTTAAGCCCCCTCAGCTTCCCTTACCTCCAGGCCCTGGCAAACAAGCATTTTCCTTGTTCATTCTGGATATTCTTATACATGGGACCAGTTGGATTACTTTAAGCAGTCCCTTGTGACAGCTGGGTAGCAGTGCGTCATGAGGACATGTGACAGCTGCTTCCGATAACATTGCTTGTCTATAACAGGGCTCTGCACAGCATGAGTCTCCTCTCCAGTTGTTTTTTGACCCAGGAGTGGGCCACACCGACATATGCTTCCCTCCTTATGGGACTGTGGTTTTCCAAAGCCACAGACAAAAACGATTACCTTTCTAAAGTATATGCCTTTGCTTTCCCGTGTAGGGCAGGCTGGCCTTGAACTTGTAGCAACCCCCCTGCCTCGGTGCCAAGTGCTAGGATTGTAGGAATGTGCCACCATGCACACTTATGCTATTCTTTATAAGAAGCATAATTTGGGGGACTGCAGAGATGGCTCATTGGTTAGAGCACTTGCTGCTCTTTAAGAGGACCCAGGTTCAGTTCCCAGCACTCACCTGTTAACCCACTACTGTGTTTAGCTCCAATTCCAGGGGATCTGATGCCCTCTTCTGGTCCCCAAGGGTACTGTGTGCATGTGGCACACATACACACACAGGCAAAATATCCATGCACATAAAATAAAGATAATTTTTAAAAATAAGCATAATTTCACAATAAGTAGTTAATAAATGTTGGGTGGGGATTGGAAATATGGAGACTGTACAAAGAAGGGATCAATGTTTCTGGTAGTCTCCAGTCTATCAGTTTTGTGGGGATCAATGTTCCTGGTCCAGTCTATCAGCTTTGAGTTCATATTAATTTCCCACTGTTAAGTAATAAGTAACACTAAGAAGGATACGAAGCCTATTTTATCACTCTGAATTGTCATGATCTTCGTAACTTATGTGAGTTAATAAATCAAAGTAGTTTTCTTACTTGTGTAGAACATGAAGATAAATTTATCTACATTAAATTCTCTTTTCTCATCTGCAGGGCTCAGAAAAGGTGGAGCATGGTGCCCACAGAACACTGTACAGGAACGGCATCCTGGCTGCCTGGGAGGCCTCGAGGCTTTTCTCTCTGTCTAAGACCTTCTGCTGTTCCTGTTCTGTATTGACTTAGGTTGAATTTTAGCCACCCTCTGACTTTCATAAGAGCTTCTTGCTGTAGAAGGTCAGAAGACTCACGCGTGTCAGGCCCGAATGGAACCCTGAGCAGAGCAGTTTGTGTGCACGTGTCCGAGCGCTGAGGAGTACAGGCTCACCAGCCGACTTCACACGTTAATCTGTGCCATGAAAGGGTTCTGTCCTAGTTAAGAACATCGCCCAGGTGTGGTGGCGCATGCCTGCAGTCCCAGGACTCCAGAGGCAGAGGCAGGAGGATCTCTGTGAGTTCCAGGCCAACCTGATCTACATGGTGAGGCCTCTGTGTCTCAAAAAAAAAAAAAAAAAAAAAAAGGAAAGAGAAAAAGAAAAGAATATGGTTCTTTGTAACTATTTAAAAGAAAGTTCCTACTCCCATTTTAAAATAGTGACAGTATGGTCTGTCAGTATACAAATATAACAGAGATAGTTTTATAAAATGGTATTTTAGGCCTTAAAGTATAAAACACATGAAATTGTGTAAATTTTTTTATTTTTCATTGCTTGCTTCAAATTTCAATAAACCCTAAAAAGTAATTTTCTCCTTTTGTTAAAAAGATGTTTCACTTTGAATTTTAATAAAAGGTTTTCGTTGTTATTCGGTACCGCACCAGAGCTGGTTTCTTTGTGGCTGGAAAGCCCTGTTCTTTAGGACAGGTGAGATGAGTTTACTCGTAGGTATCGAACAGAGCAGCATGCTTATAGTCCTCAGGTAAAACGAGCTCTCCTGATGCTTTGGAACCTTCAAAGCTTTGATAGTTTTTCCTTTAACATGAAACTGGAGTAAGCAATGCGGGACCAAAGGAAAAAACCAGGAGGCATGATGACACTGATGGATTCTGTGGGTTAATCTGGTACTTCAAACGTGCGTAAAATTGAGGAAGCGAGTACAGTGTGGTTTGCCACTGGCTTCTCAGTAAACTGCATATCAAGGCACATTTACAAAATTTTATTTATCATTATTAGTAAGTGTATATGTGGGGATGTGGGCGTGCACTTGTGAGGGCAGGTGCTGGCGGAGACCAGGTCCTCACAGCTGCAGCACTCCGAAGCTGCAGCAGGCCGAAGTCCAGCCCTCCACCAAAGCAGCAAGCTCTCCCACCTGCTGAGCCTCTCCAGGCCCCACAGCTGCCCTTCTCAAACTGAATGCTCTTGTGGGCACCCCCTTTATAGAGAGATCTGTTGGAGAGCCATTGGTGGAAAGGGGAAGCAGGACTGGGAAAGTAAAAAGGGGGGAGAATTGACTGAGTGTGTCTCTGAGTTTGTATGAAGTCTTCATCTCATTCCTAACGTTGGAGACAAGAGTGTTCTCTGAGCAGAACCCAGTGGAATGGGCAGACTGAGCGTCCTGCCAGGGAAGTTCTGGAGTCACAGGGCAGCATTCTGCCCTTGTGAACTTCACACTTCTCTTGTGAGTCACAACTCTGACTTGAATGGCATTCACAAGAATCGGTGAGCTGACCTTCGTGAGGCAAATCTGAACTTGGGAAACTGTATTGCCGTAATCTTGAAGCCAGCCTCACCTACACAGTGACTTCCAGGCCAGCCAGAGATATATAACATAGTAGGACTCTTTAAAAAAGATAAAAATTTGGTCACCGAACCGCTGTATGCTTCCTGAGTAGAGCACTTAAATGTTAACTTTTTGCCACATTCATTCTTCTACCTTCTGTTGTTAATTTTACACCTTCAGAGCAGGTTGCCCATATCGCCTTACCCCTAGAAACATTAGCATGCATTTGCCAAAAACAAAGACATTTTCCTACCTAGTTGCATGGCAGTAATCAAATCCAAGAGCCAAATTGGAATATCTAACATATAGTCCATACTAAAAACTTTCAAATTACCCCAAGAATGTTTTCCTGTAGTTACTTCCTACTCCCCTCTCCACCCCCAAAGATGAGCATTTGTGACTGTTGGTTGTTAGTGAGTTTGTTTTCAGCCTCCTTTAGCGGAGAAGTAGAGGGTAGTCTTTGGATTCTTCTACAGGCTCTCTGATGAAGAATAAAAAGACATTAGGAATGTCCAAGAGGTCACTGGCTGTAAAAACAAACCGCACAGAGAAAAACTTGTTTTGAATTTTTAAAACTTTGGCTGGGTTTTGGTGCCTTGATTCAGCAAAGTCTACAATGCAGCAGGGTTGGGTGAGCATTAGAGGGGCCATGAAGCCTTCCTTTATTTCATAATCCCAATTGTTTTTCTAGCACCCATCAATAGACTCTAAATGACTGACTCAAATTTTGGATCCAATTCTCATGATTAAGCAAATGTTTGATTTGAAAGCAGCCCCGTATAAATGTCCCTGTGCCTGTAGCCCCGGAGCTGTCCTGGGTTTCTCTCAGCAGTGCGGGATCAACCTCAGTGCTTACAATGTCTAAAACTGGAGCCAAGGTAAGTAAACACCATGCGGAGCGGTTAGCTAACCCGCCTTTCATCTAATCGAGTGTCGAAAGCAGCTGCAGGAAAGCTTTTGTTTCGGTATCGAGGTGAGTAAGCTAGAGCCTGAAGGACAAGGATGGGGAGAGAAGATGGAGAAGGGCTTGTTTTGGGGTCTAAGAGAGTCATCTCAGGCCACCTTAAAGATTCACCTTTAGCGATGGCGCTGTGCTAAGTGCTGTATGGGTAAACAATACGTAAAGCATCACGACGGCTGCCTCCCAGCCACTGAGGATGTCATTCTCACAGGAGTGGGACGTGGTGAAGACTGCCGCCAAACTCCAGTAGCCGGCGTTCTGTTGCGTATAATTCAGCCTCGACTAACTATTAAGGTTCCAAAAGGCCAGTGGATAGGCCAGGCCAGCGAACTGAATCTTGCAGTACTTTTTCATTTAGGCAGAGTCTTCACCAACGTTTGACTCAGCTGCCTGTCTGAAGGCGATGGCCTGGGGGCTGTGCTTTTGTGTAGCCAAAGACTAAAGAGTCACGGTGCAGTGCCTGATTCCTCCCCTCCAACTCTTTGCTTCGAAACATTCAGACTTACTGATCTTGAAAGAGTTAGAAAAATGTGTAGTGAATGCTTCTCCCTCAACTGATACTCTCCAACTGCTAACATCTGGCCACGGCTGATGTGTTACACCATTTGAAAAGTAGCTAACTTGATGGCACTGCTGGCTGAGATATTTAGATTATGTACCTCCTAAAAACAAAGTTCTCTCACCCCTGGATAAACAGATCCCCAAGGTCCATCCTAAAGCTAATACCCGACACTGAGACCATACTTAGTTTCTCCAATTGACCCCAGAACTGTGCTGATGGAGCGTGTTGAGGCCACATGATACATGGAGTCGTATTTGTGTTTGCTCACATTCTTTACCTCCCCCTATGCCTGTACCCCCCCCCCCCCAGCTTTTGTTGTTACTGAGACAGGGACGCTTTTCAAAGCTCAGGCCAGCTATGCTGTGGAAACTCGATCAAGACTCGCCTCACGGTTTCCTCATCTTTAAGCTGAGCCTGGCAAGAGGTTAGGCAGGCGGGATGGTGTGCTTTTCAGTACAAGGGCAGCAGGAGGTTGCTGTCAATGTGTTCTGTGATTGGCTAGTGCCTGAGCACCTTTTCCTTGTTTGACAAATAGAACAAACAACCATCCAGATGTCATAGGTAGGGGAAAGGCTGTCCAGTGTTTGTAAAATACACCTCTCAGATCCCACTGACAAGTCTGAAGAGCCTTGAGGGAAGGCTTTTACGTAAACGTCATGGAAACAGACACCTGGTGTTTCCCATTGCCTTTCCTTTCTCGCCATCTTGTTACTGGCTTAATCAGAGGCAACACGGGCCTCGGCAAGAGCAACAGATTTTATTAAGCATTTATTCGTTAACCTCTGGAATAATAAAGATATTTTTCTTTCTGCTTGGATTGGTAGGCTATTTTTCAAAAATAATTGTGACAGGCTTTTTATAGGAATTTCTAGGAAAACCAGAATTTTTTTTTTTTTTTTTAGACTCTTCAGGTTTTATGTCAGAAGGACCACCTTTCTCCATCTGCAACAGAATGGGCAGATGTCACATTTCCTTTACAATAGGAATTGTGCATAAATGGAGCAGCCCTCACCCACCGAACAGAGAGCTTGGGCTGGAGCCCAGAAATGGCTCCATTAAAAACGAATGCACGCTCGATTTGACATGGAATGACCAGCTGTCCTAGGAAGGTGGACAGCCTGGTGACCCTCTGTCTATTTCACTTCTGAGATTCTGGTGTAAGGCAAATGTGCAGAGGACAGTAAGTGTTAGAATTAATGGATTAAAACACACAGGCCACATTTCCCATAGCATGGCTCCTACAAAATCATTTTTGCTAAGTCAGAGCTCAAAAGCAAACTCATCATGTAAATGTGGGCATGTAGAACCTGTCCGCTCTTAAGAGAAGGTACTGTGTTTTCCTGAAGATCTCTTCAGTGGTCACAATAACAAGGCTCTTGGATGCAGGGTCCATCCTGCTGGGTGCTCAGAGCATGAATGCTGCCATATGAAGTCACATGGGGGTAGGAAGAGGGAAGAGAAAGAAACTAGTCCACGTGAGAAGTGAGGAGCTTGCACTGCAGTCCCCGGGCTTATGGCTCTCCTTGAATATTCAGCTAGCGGTCTGTGGAAGTCATTCTTTGTCCATGAAAACGAAAACAGCTTCCTGTCTTTTAAAATATTTATCCTGGGCTGCCTAAACGTGACCTGCACAAGGGGAACAATAATAGACATGCTAAGGCGAACGGGTGAGAGCTCCTGGGATCTCAGCCCTATACAACTAAATGCTGACAGTGGCAGAAACAGCCCTGCCCAGAGAAGGTCTTACCAACTGGTTACCCAATGCCAAAGGGTCAGCCCTGAAAACACAGGTAACATATGGTCAGAGCCAGATGTAGTTTAAAGAGTTTTAAAAATGTGCTTTACAGTTTTGCACATGTATGTAAAGTGCTTTGATCATATTCATCTTTCATTATTCTCCCATTCCCCTTCCGCTCCTACCAACCCCTTCCCTGTAATCCCCTTCCTAATGTGTTATGTAGGGTGTGTGTGTGTCCGTGTGTCCCATTGCATTTATTTAATCAGGGTTGCTTGCCTAAGTCTGGGTATGGGTCATTCACCTGAGAAGGACAACTTAGAGCAGCGGTTCTCAGCCTGTGGGTCTCGACCCCTTTGCGGATCACATCGGCTATCCTGCATACCAGATTATGTGCATTACAACTCACAGCAGTAGCAAAATTAGTTATGAAGTAGCAGTAAAATAATTTCACGGTTGGGGGTCAACACAACACGAGGAACTGTATTAAAGGGTCACAGCACTAGGAAGGTTGAGAACCACTGTCTACACCACCCAGGAGTGTGACTATCCCTTTCCCAGAATCCATTTAATTGCCTGTGGCTCTTCAGGCAGGGCAAGCCCCTTCTTCACTGGCAGTTTAGAATCAAGTATTAAACTTTGTACTTGCCGACGGCCATTTGCCCTCAGAGGACCCCCATGTAGAAAGATGCTCTTACCTTGTTTTACAGATTAGGGCCTCTAAAGGAAGGCTCGGCCGGGGCTCTGTTCAAAGTCATAAATAAGCCGTGCTGGAATTTCCCCCTCTCGTCTGTAAACATCTAAATCTGCTTTGCTAAAAATGAGAGGAGCAGAAAACAAATTTGAAGAGGGAAAATGAAATAAATGATTTTTAATGGGAAAGGAGATTTGTTTTTTAGGGAACAAAAAACAGAAGTGGGGACAGGCAGGGAAAGGAAAGATTAAGGCGGAATGAAATGGCTCTGAGTGTGTCACCCGGGGAAGAATCGCCCAGGACGAAAGAGAAAGCATCTTGTGTCTTTTGGGTATCCGTCCATTCTCTCCATCTCAGCAGTCACCAAGACTGGAGTCCCTTCACAGTGCTCTCCCATCGCAGCTGTGCGCGTTAGCTCCTGGCTCTGGGCGTTCACAGGCACTGAGTGAACTCCACACACTCACTGTTCACTGGTTCCTGCAATGGGTCCTGTTTCCCGCGTATTGTATTCGTTTGAACTGGTTTGTCCCCTTTTCTTGGCTTCTGGAAAACTACTCACCCTTCCGCCTCTGCTCCTTTAAGACCGTGCTTTTCTGAGAAATCAATAACTCAAATCAGCCACAAGGTGGCAGCATAATGCAAAAAAATCTATTTTTGGATTTCATAGTGACATTCAGAAACTATTCATGAAACCCCCCCCCCCCCCCCCCAGAGTTCCTATCAGGTGTCCCCCGTCTCAACCAGAAAAAAAAAAAAAAAAACTCCGAGCTCTGTTTTACGTCAGCACTCAGTGTATTTGAGTCATGCCTTTGGAGCAGTGGGAAGCCGAAGCCAGGCACTGTGGTAGAAACTGATCGGGCTTTGAAGCAGAGACCACTTTTGCCTCACTCTCTTGGCCTCACAGTCCTGCTGCTGGCAACACTCTAATAGGAGCTTGCTGTGTTTTCGGCTGTGCCTAGGCTCTGCAGCCATCCATCATGGACTGCTCTTCATCGAACATCTGTTGAGGGTTTGTGAGCTGTTGCTGGGCTCAGGAGATCTGGAGGCGAGGGAGGCTCGGTCTTTATCCTTGGGAGAAACCTAGTAGGATTCTGGTTGGAGGGTCAGAGGCGTAAACGGCCATTTATAGCATAATATATCGGTGGTATAATGTAATATAATGTGGTAAGTAGAGGACCGTGGGAACTTAAACACGTCATGTGGTCAGAGGCTTCTCTTAGGATGTTCTTTAACTCTGCGCCACTTTGAGAAAGGTCCCATCCCACTTGTTGACAACCAAGTTGCCAGAAGCCAAATGTGAGGCAAAGTAGAACTGTGTGCTTTTCTTCACAGTAGGAGGGAAAGCCGTTTGCTGCTGTTGTTTTTGTTTTTTCCACTTTTATCTGCGTGCAAAGCTGCCCGGCTCCTCAGCCCTCTAACTGTTCTGTGCTTCAGATCAGTTTCTACGAAGAGAAAAACTTTCAAGGCCGCCGCTATGACTGCGACTGCGACTGCGCAGACTTCCGCTCGTACCTGAGCCGATGCAACTCCATTAGAGTAGAGGGAGGCACCTGGGCCGTGTACGAAAGGCCCAACTTCGCTGGACACATGTACATCTTACCCCAGGGCGAGTACCCGGAGTACCAGCGCTGGATGGGCCTCAATGACCGCCTGGGCTCTTGCAGGGCTGTTCACCTGGTGAGCCTGGAAGCTTGCTGGGCCACAAATCCCCCATCTTTTCTTCTTAGGATTGTGTGCATGTGTGTGTTGTGTGTGTGTGTGTGTTGCAGGCGCCCTCGGAGGCCGTTACAGGGTGTTGGATCCTTTAGAGCTGAGGTGGATTAACAGGTGGATTGGATGTGAGCTGCCTGATAACAGTTTTTGGGAACCGAACTCGGGTCCTTTGGTAGAGCAGCAGGCACTTAACTGCTGAGCCATCCCCCCAGGCCCCTCTCCCCACACAGCCTTTCCTAAGTCTTTCTGCCTCTTCCTGCTTAGCTAGGATGTGTTGACTGAAATACACATCTTGGTTTACTTCATTACTAGACGGAATGATATTACTTCTCAGCCTTTCAGCTGAGATCAAGCGCAGGCTAAATACTAATTGTTCTATGACTCTGTCCCTACCTCATGGATATTTATAGAAATTGTACTTAGTACAAGTCAGATTTTTTTTTCTTCTTCTGTATTTCACGTTGGAGACAGGGGCGCTGATGAGCCTCCCTTTCAGGAGGATAGGCAGGGCACCGTGCTCTCCTCCGAGTGCCCAAGTGCTAACCACATCTGTAACAATGGCTGCCCGTTTCTTGTTGTGGTTGTTTTCAGTCCAGCGGAGGCCAGTATAAGATCCAGATCTTTGAAAAGGGCGACTTTAGCGGCCAGATGTACGAGACCACAGAAGACTGTCCCTCCATCATGGAGCAGTTCCACATGCGGGAGATCCACTCCTGTAAGGTACTAGAAGGCACCTGGATTTTCTATGAGCTCCCCAGCTACCGTGGCAGACAGTACCTCCTGGACAAGAAGGAGTACCGGAAGCCCATCGACTGGGGGGCGGCATCCCCCGCGGTCCAGTCATTCCGCCGCATTGTGGAGTGATGGCATGAACGGGGCCGTAGAGTTCGCCCTGAGGGCTGAATGCTGGCTGGCTTGTGGTCCAAATAGGCATCATAAATAAAAGAATTGGAATGCATCCCACTGCTGACTACGGTGCCTCTTCTTAATTGCTTTTAGGGACCAGCATTCTAGTCCTGCCACCGTGGGCAGTTATCTGAAGCAGTTCATCTCTTAGCGAACCAGTCCAGACCTTTGTGCAAACCAAAAAATAAGAGTACACTGAACGTTATAAAAGCACGCTTTCACGTACAGGCTCTTTTGGGTTTCCTTTTGCCTTAGTTCAACAACGACAACAATAACAAAGCAGAGCTGCCTTTTACAGAGTGCCTATCCTAATGGTTTGTTTCTCTCAGCCACCCTGTAAGAGCAGTGCTCTGTCTAGACTTTACAAATACAAAAACTGAGACGTAAGAAAAATTTGAAAGTAGACCACATTCACTGTGGGGTGAGCGGAAGTAGAACTGCCTTGGAGATACTGATGTTTCTGAATCCACACTTTAATTCCCACTCCATCCATTCAGCTCATGATAGCTAGAGAGCTGTGTGCAGTGTGAGTGCAGGACCCTGAAAGATGTGAAAAGTGGTGAGAATAGGGTTCTACTGCAGGTTTCTCTCTCTCTCTCTCTCTCTCTCTCTGGAGACAGGATCCCTACTGGGAACAAGCAATGAAACCATGACTATCATTTGCAAGCAGCCGAGCTGCCCGAGGCCTGATGTTCCTCATTTAAGATCCAGGGAAAAGGACAGGTTGCAACTTGTTCCCACTCTGTGCTATTTGAAAGGAAGATGAGCAGAGTCTTGATGCTCTGGGTAGCCCAAGGCATCCCTAAGCTGGTCCTGATGCAGACACAGCATCACTAGGAGTGTTAACGGGCACTGGAGAATTCGGAGAAATGCTGAAAGCACCATCTCTAAAAGCAATGGCAAGGCTTACGTCTTCTAGTGTCTTTCCCCCAACATGACACTCGAGAACACTAAGTTCCAACACGCACATCAATAGTTCATTTTGTTATCTTCCTTTTTAAAAAAATGTCAGTGAGGACTTTGAGAAAAGTGAGTGAAAACAAGGAGATACACATTGAGGAGAAAGGATGCGATAGTGTACACTGAGCTGAAGAGGGCCCTGGCCCCTGAGTTGACTGGACTGTCAATTCTGGACCTTGCCATTCTGCCAAGAAGCAATACAAGAGCCCCAAACCAAGTGTTCTCCATTGAACACAGTAGAATTCTCTGTGGGGGCCAGAGATGATGATGAAAAACATACCCAATATTTTGGCCAATACCCAAGATTACTGACATGGTTTTCAGAAGTGTGGTTTCTGGAAATGACCTCAAGGATCTTACAGTCACGTTTCACTGGGGAAACTGAGACTATGGTAACAGTGAGTTAGAGATAGCCTCTTCTCTCATTGCAACCACTGCTCTGTTGCTTGGGCGTTCATCGCAGTGTGTGCAAAGCCACCAGAAAAGCAATTCTGGCAGCAATACAAGAAAGCAGTGTCACGATAGCTATGCGTAGTCTGAGAGAAGCAAATGATGGCTGCTGAATAAAACAATTTCCATAAAATAACAGGCCTGGTGGATCATGCCTGTAATCCCAGCAACTTGGGAGGCAGAGGCAAGAGTATCTCTATGAGTTTGAGGCCAGTCTGGTCCACAAAGTGAATTCAGGACAGCCAAGGCTACACAGAGAAACCCTGTCTCAATAAACAACAACAACAAAAACCAAAACATCAACAAAACAGGCCTGCCAGTTAATGCTCTCCTGGTCACAGGTGCACCGCTTCACTCTGCTTAAAAGGAATTTTACAAGCATTTGGTATGAAAGGTCAAGAACTTTTCTCTCCTCCATTCATAAATCCAAGATATTCGGGGTAGAGATCATTCTCTCTGCTGTTAGAGCCAGGGGCTAGCATCCCACCCATCAACCATACTTCACACAGTGAGTGAGCTGACTGTCCCGAGTTACTCCTCTTAACTTTCAATTTTTCTGAAACAGCATCTCAGGAAAGCAAAGGCTCACTATACTAAAACCCTGTTAGCCGTTTGCTATGCAAAACATTCCACCGAGACAAAACTCTACATACTTCCCAAATATGGAACCCACTTCCTCAACGTGCAAAGTCAAACCTCTACGGTGGAACTGCCAGATTAAATACAGAACAGGATTCCTAAATGCCAAATACTGGGATAGAAATATAAGTGTCACCTAAGTTCTGTAAGGGGTCTGCTAGGAATTATCATTTGTCTGGCACTGTAACTTCCTCCACTTCCTCCTCTTCTTTTTTTTTTTTTTTTTTTTTTTCTTTTTCTTCTTCTTCTTTGCATTTGGCATATCCAGGCACCCCATAACAAGCGTAAGGCAAGTCATAACAAACTATGTGGGGCTGTAAGCACACGGGGACACTGTAGGCTTCGGAAACGGGAGTTTTCTTTCGGGCCCCACAAAGGACATTTAAATACATTGTTTTAAGAAAGAACTGTAGGCATGTGTCTCCCGTGGACCACTAGTTTCCAATGTTGGCTGTCAGAGAGCTCTGAATACCACAAAAAGCTCCCTTACACAAAGCCAGCACCTGGCCCTCTTGCCCCCAGTCTTAGCTCTGGTCCTTCTTGGTCTCCAGCCATATGGCTCAAGGATGCCTCCGTTTCCACGCTCAGCACCATCTTTCCCCTCACTATTCTCTTGGTGTGTGCCAACGGCAATTTGTGTCTTCCGTGTGGTCTGGCCCATGCACACTCCATCTGGATGGCTGTGTTTCCTTTTTGTTCTGTTGGTTTGGGTTTGGTGTGTGGTTGTACATGTTTTGTTTTGACTGAATGCCTTAGTTCCTTTTCTGTAGCTGTGAGATCATGATGAAGGCAATTTACAGGAAGAAGGGTTTATCTGGGCTTGCGGTTGCAGAGGGTTAGAGTCCGTGTTCGCAGAGTGGTGGGAAGAGGAATCTGAAAACTCACCCCTTGAACCACAATCACAAAGCAGAGAGAGTGAACTAGAAACGCCAGAGCCTTTAAACTCTTAAAGCCTGCTGCCAGTGATGTACCTACTCCAGCAAGACCACACCCCCTAACCCTGGCCAATAGTGCTACCAACTGGGACCACGTGTCCAAACTCCTGAGACTGTGAGGGACATTCATCCTTCCTCATCTGAGCCGCCACGCTAGGCCTTCCTGCCCTGTCAGAATGCTCTGAATACGGCAGCCTCTGTCTCACGCTAAGTCAGCAACCACCCCTAGCTCCCAGCCTGCTGTCCTAGCTCTCACTCACCCACAGGACTTAACGATGCCTCTTAATAATTTGCCAGTTCTGCTACGGGATCCTCTACATTTTCCTACGTAAACAGGAGTCAGGTACAAAAGCTGGAGAATCTGTTCCTCTCTGGGAGCGGATTCAAATCCTGCCACTTAAGCTACTATGAACTAAGTCAATAGATGCTTAGGAGTAGAACTAGCATGAGCGCAGCGGCCACTGCAGTCCAGCGGGCCCTCACTACGTCAGGGTCTGTATTTGCGAATTCTAACCCCCAGTCACTTTGTAATCCTCAAGCCACCAATCAGAGCGGAGTTGAGCCTACTTGTGGACATGCGCAGAGGACCCAAGATAGGTGACCCAACGCACGTGATCCCAGTTGGAATGGGATCTGTTTCTTTCTGTCTCAGCTCTCGTGAATTGTTCTAGGCCCACCTAAACGCCACATTCTCCACATTCTTGCTTTTGTTGATTGTTTCACTGTATAGGAATGCCTCCCCCAAACGATAGTACCAGCATATTATCTAGTGTTCCCAGTCTCTTATGTGGTTAGCCAGCTTTATACCTTTTTATTTTATCCCATATATATTTTTTTAAATGAGCACATGGCATGTATATAACACGGGTGCGTGTATGGAGGTATATTCATATATAGGGGTGCATATATACATACCTGTTCTACTCATATACATGTATGTGCATGCTTGTGGAGGTGCTAGATTGTGGTCCAGTGGCCTCCTTGATTCCCTCTCATATATATATATACACACACACACATATACATATATGTATACATATACACACATATATGTATATATGTACACATACATATACATACATACATATACATATGTATATATGAGTAAGAATGGACTCTTTTGCTCACCGTTTATCTAGCCGGACCCAGACACTCCTTGTCTTTTGAGTGCTGGGATTATGTGTAGGCTGCCCAGGCCACCTGGCTTTTTACTCAGGTTCTGAGGGCCCAAACTCTGGCTCTCATGTTTACACAGCAAGTGCTTTACCGACTGCCTCCACAGTCCATGCCTGTAATTTTAGCAGATGTGTCATGGCTGGGGGAAATATGTCAGAATCATTTAACCCATTCCATGGCCTTGAAAAAAAAAGTCACGTTTAACTGTCACAGGCGTCTGTCCCATTCGTCTCTTCCCTGGTTCTAGCGCCCAGCAAGTTTCCAAAGCCAACAAGGCTGTCTCTAGAATTCACACAGGTTAGAGGTTTTCAGACCTGCACGTTATCCTCATATTCAACACAACACAAGCAGCTGTGTTGGTATTAGATGAGACATAAGGAAAAGAGTGTTAGCCTTGTCAAAAACTCAAAGGGGCATATACTGAATAAAGGCAGCTACCGTAGAACCTAAAACCTTTCAAATACGAGATCCCTGAAGAATAGTCATAGGAGGAGCCCTTTAGTGGCGAAAGGATTCAGAACCCACAGACTCAGCTGGCTACAGTGACTTTATGAGAATTATTTATTATGTACACAGTGTTCTGTCTGCACGCCAGAAGAGGGCATCTTGTAGATGGTTGGGAGCCTGGGAATTGAACTTTGGACCTCTGGAAGAGCAGCCAGTGCTCCTAACCTCTGAGTCATCACTCTAGCCTGTTCTTTCTGTGGTGTAGGTGGAAGTAGAGGAGTCAAGAAGAGGAAGGTGGGGAGAGCTGGTGTGAAGGAGGGGCAAAGGGAGCAGAGGGGAGTTTGGATTACTTCCTCCATGTGATGGGGAAAAAAGGGGGAAGTTAATATCTCTCATTTTTTTCCCCTGCCAGGATGGAAAGCACCCC